CAATACCGAAAACTCAACATAAATAAGTTTCGACCCTATCTTTATGGTAGACCGTTCAGAGCTGTCAGTGACCACCACGCTCTATGCTGGCTGGCAAATCTCAAGGATCCGTCAGGTCGACTAGCCAGATGGAGCCTTAGGCTGCAGGAGTATGACATTACTGTCGTATACAAATCTGGAAGGAAACACAGTGATGCCCACTGCCTGTCACGCTCTCCCGTCGATCCACGTGTACCTGAAGAGGAAGACTTCCCGTTTCTAGGCGTTGTCGACCCATTCTAAATCGCTCAACAACAACGAGATGACCCAGATTTGCTGGCACCTATACAACACCTGCAGGGTCTCGATGTTCAAGTCCCTCGCATATTCTCCCGAGGGCTCTCCACGTTCTGCCTTCGAGGAAGTGTCCTTTACAGGAGGAACTTCAAACCTAATGGCGAAACTTTTTACTAGTCGCGCCCACAGCCACGCGACAGGAAATTCTGCATGCATGCCACGACGAGCCAACATCTGGACACATGGGTGTGAGCCAAACATTCGCCAGGATTCGCCTGAAGTACTATTTGCCTAAGTTGCTCGCATTAGTGCAGCGCTACATGAAAACTTGTCGTCAATGTCAACGGCGCGAAACTCCAGCCGTAAAACCAGCCGGCCTTCTCCAGCCAATAGACCCTCCGGATGCTCCATTCCAACAAGTCGGCATGGACTTCCTAGGACCTTTCCCGACATCATCTGCAGGCCAGAAATGGATTCTCGTAGCTACAGGCTATCTGACCCGTTATGCTGAGACTGAGTCTCTGTACAGTGCGACAGCTGCCGAAGTCACCAAGTTCTTTGAGAACAATCATAGTGCTCAGGACATGGTGCGCCCATCGTCGCATCTAATATAACAATCCAAGCAAAACCAAAGCTGCTGGAAACTGTCAGAGAAGGCCACCTCGACACTTGAAATGCACAGCGGAGGTTCGTAAATACTTTTTTGTATAACAAATTTGCCCCGACTCCTAGGAACAATTCTTTAATTAGTATCTGGCAAAACTTTCTGGCAATTATTACTCCTCAACATATTGTCAGACTGCGAAGCTGACTCTTCTATTCAATACATGGCTTGCAAAGGTTTTTTTCAATACAGAACTTCGATGTTGCTGTAGCATAATCATGAGCGGTACGCGCTGTTGTCGAGTTTGCGAGCCTAGTGCACTTTTTCAACACTACACGCACTAAGCTCTGTCAAAAATCTCTGTGTTGCCAAAATAGGCCAATTCGAATTGATTCTGAAAGTTCAGTGGCTGGACTAACCATTAGAAAGTGCTGGGTGCATGATAAACAAATTTAACATGCCAAAATAGATGGTCCAAAAGCGTCCATCACTGTTGATCGATTTGAATAGGCGTGGTAACGAAAGAGTTAAGGTCGTGGTTGTACCGGCTACTGTACATATCTCTGTAAAACTCCTCCGCTATTTTAACTATCCTATTTATATTGGTAGTTATTTTGCCTTGTTTATCCCTTAGTGCATACATCCAATTTTTCCCTATCCCAAGCTTCCTCTTCACTGCTTTCACGTTTCCTCAATTTTTTAGAGCATGTTCTATTCTCTCCATGTTATACCTTCTTATATCGCATACATTACGCCTATTAATCAACTTCGAAAGCTCTGCCAGTTCTTATTTGTCTGTTGTACTCTAGACTCTCATGATATGACACTTCTTAATGAGACTCTTCGTTTCCTGGGAAAGCTTGCGAGTGTCCTGTCTAACTACCCGGCCTCCAAATTCCAGTGCACACTCCGTAATGATACTAGTCAGACTATCATTCATTGTATCTACGCTAAGGGAGGTTGCCTCACTAAGAGCCGAGTACCTGTTTGTGAAGCGAGACTCTGAATTCCTGTACTTTCCCTCTAACTGCTAGCTCATTGATTGGCTTCTTGCGTATCAGTTTCTGTAGTTTGTTCTTCATGTCTAGGCGAATTCCAGACCGCACCATTCTATAGTCTCTGCTTCGTACCTTGCCAACCACTTCCACTTTCTGCACAATTCGTGGGTGTGCACGCATTATAAAGTCTATTTCATTCTTATTTTCGCCATTAGGGTTCCTCCATGTCCACTTGCAGTTTCCTCGTTTTCGGTAGAAGGTATTCAAAATCCGTAAATTATTGCGTTCTGCGAATTCTACTAGTAGCTCTCCTCTGGCGTTTCTAGTACCGATGCCATAATCTCCTACTGCATAGTCTCCAGCCTGCTTCTTTCCTACCTTTGCATTAAAGTCTCCCATCAGTATAGTATATTGTGTTTTTACCTTACTCATTGCCAATTTCACGTCTTCATAGAAGCTTTCAACTGAAGTGTCATCATATCTGGATGTAGGCGCGTAAGCCTGTACCACCTTCATCTTGTGTCTTTTATTCAGTTTAATTACGATACCTACCACCCTTTCATTAACGCTATAGTATTCCTCTATGTTGCCAGCTATGTTTCTGTGAATTAGGAACCCCACTCCCAGTTCTCTTCTGTCATCCAAGCCCCGATAGCAAAGGACGTGTCCATTATGTAGCACCGTATATGCCTCATCTGTCCTCCTAACCTCACTGAGCCCTAACATATCCCATTTAACAACCTCTAGCTCTTCGAATAGTACAGCTAGACTTCCCTCACTATATAAGGTTCTAGCGTTAAATGTTGCCATGTTCAGGTTTTAATGGTGGCCTGTCCAGATCCAGAGATTCTTAGCACCTTCTGCTGCGTGGCAGATCTGACCGCCGCCGTGGTCAGTTGCTTCGCAGCTGCTGGGACTGAGGGCCGTGAGTTATTTGACGTATGCATGTGGGAGGTAGTGGCCAGTTCCTGCACTAGGGTGGCCAATCTTTCTTTGGTGAGGGAGTGCGTTCCCGGCAATGGTTACCGGTTAGGCCGCACCCCAGGCCTCTTAATGCAGTTCCATCACCAAGCGGATTTTTTTATCTGGTTGGGAACTGCGCGGCACCAGGATTTGAACCACGGACCTTTTGCATACAAGGTGGATGCTCTAACCACTACGCCATCATCAATGCCTGTTTAACCGTAGGGGACCCATAAGCACCGTTTCGATTAACCAATGAATTTTACTGTGCAACACATAGAAATCCAGCCATATGAGCCCGTTTAGTTCCGTTAATGAGGCATTTTCGTTTAAGCGAGTTTCGTTTATTGGCAGTCCAATGTACTTTTTTTGCATGATGAGGAACTGAGTCGCTAGCTCATAGGCCCACGCTATCAGTGTTGTTTTGAGAAGCGTCCTGCTCTTAGCGTGGAGGGACCTGAAACTGTTGAACTTTAAGCGCTGCCTTTTGCATGCGTCCCTGTTGATTCATCATTGCCATGCTGTGAAGTCGCTGTCTCTAAGCACAATAAATTTGCCGAACTTTACGCGGTCGTGTCAGGCATTTCAGATGCAATTGAACTTTTGGCCCCCGTCGCTTCAGAGAAGTCAGCAGTAGAGCCAGCCATTTTCACAGAGCTTTTCTTGTTTTCTTGTTTTTTGCTGCACCGTCAGGCACTTTCGGTATTTCTCAAACTTGTCCGCCACCTATTATGTCGCTCTGGTTTACGCGGAGCCTTGAAATGCGACACATGCTCCATACAATTCTGATACACCAACTTGCTATTCGAGACGAAACATCACTCGCCCTTTTCAAAGCGCAGCCAAAGACAAGGCCGCTGATGCATATATGTCGCGTCGAGGTATACGTGCACTGAATTACAAAGCGCGAATCAGCTAAACAAATAAAATACACAGGCAGGGTTCACAATCACAGGGCAACGTGTTACTAAATCACGAAATCCCATGCCCACAAACCTTTGAGAAAGATGTTCTTTGGCATGCAAATAGCTGCCGTCCCATTCAGTAGCGCCATCTCAACTCGCGTGACGGGGACTCGCTCGCTAAATTCCATGCCGACCGGTTGTGCCCTCGCGATCTCCGACGTCAGCGTAGCTCTGGCCTGGGCTGGCCCTACGTCAGCTCCTGACACCGACCTTCGACAACAGTGCAGCTCTGACCTACCAAACTTGCCCTACGCCATCTCCCGACGCCGACAAGAGCTCTCGCAAGTGGTGCCCCGTCCTCGGACTCCAGTGACCGTGTTTCCATGTTTCCTATCTCTCCTATTCCCTCGATTTGTCCTCGCTCACTGGCCTAGCGCATCTGTTTCTCTCTCTATACCCTTAATCCTAATCCTTTAATTCTTCCTCACCCCCATTCCTTGTGAGCTACTGGTGAGGTGTCGCTCCCTGAAGCACACAGTTACGGGGCTCATCACTTTTCTCTTTCTTTCTTTCTTAGATCCACTTGGCAGTCGCGTGACGGAAACTACTCGTAGCTAAAGGTCATCGGCGTACGCAATCTGCCCCCACCCTCTCCTTGTGCGGAGCAGCGAGTGTCAGCACCTAACATATTCTTACACCATGATCATGGCCTGTATCATACAGCTAAGAACACAAGCCCTGGTGGTGCCTTAGTGTGTTGAACACAAGCCCTGGTGTGTTGAAGTCACCAAGCTGTCCAAATGGAAGGGTGCTATTACCAGCTCCAGACTCAAAGAGTTATGGGCAGTCCAACGGGCCCCCGATGCAACAGACTTGGAATTTTTGTTCTGACGTGGCAGCGGCCTGCATCCATCCATCCAGTAATGGACAGGTGGCAAGATCAGACCAATTTCTGTAGCACCAACCCATTCAGGGTGATAGTTTTTGTAAAGGCCACATGTAACATACCAACAGACTGCATATACCACAGCTCACCTAAACAGCTTTGCCATTGAAACAGGCAAAGGACAATCATTTATTTATTCTTGCAGGCAACAACTTTTTGTCAACTCCATCACAACTGACTGTGTAATATTTATGCGTCACATGCAACGGTGATGCCGCACCATTTGAAATGACTTTTTAAAATTCTCTTATGCATTATATCTATAATAAAATATTTACTTAAACAAATGAGATTAATATAACGCTTACATGTCTGTGTAGAGGACTCCTTCAATTGACGGGGCTGAAGGCCTCCTAGAAAAATACAGACAAAATGAAAAAATTACACCAAGTCTATTCATTCAAATATATCTAGCATATTTCACTGTGCACAGGACTTTTCTCAACATTTTCCCTGTTGCGTGTTAAGTGCTCAAACAGTCATGCACTTCTGCAAGACCAGTAGGTCTATGTTTCACTCGAGAGTAAAATAAACTGAGATAAAGGGAAATTGTAGAAAGATATACAATCTTGTTATAAGAACGAAGCGGCTGTGGTCTCTATTGCCAGCTACTTGCTGTTTTAAGTGGTGTGGCGACCATGGAGATGGCCTCAATGCATTTCTTGTGCCCACCAAAATGGTACAATTAATACTGAAGGGCATGAGATCACCTATTATTATTATTATTATTATTATTATTATTATTATTATTATTATTATTATTATTATTATTATAACTTCATTGCAGAGAAACGAGTTTTATGTAACTGTCTTTGGCATGTGTCCGGAAAGCAAAATTTGTTACTGTTGACACTTGACACACAAAATTTTCAGAGAATATTCAGCTTTGTATACTGATTTCAAACACGTAATTGCATTTTTTTTACACCAGTCCAAGAAAAAAGTTACAACAATTCTTATTTTATGAATTCGGGATGCGACTTGCTTAAAAAGTATTGCATTCGAATAGCTCACGTTCAGCAGGCATGTTCCTGAATGTTCAAACAGTGCAAATATGAAATTTACTGCTTGTCTCTGAATTTGAGCCAAAGTTATTAAGTCTTCTTTTCGCAGTCTCTTAGCTGTGAATTTTTGTTGCTGATTTCTAGAAGATTTCATAATGTTCCGTCCTAAAATACTTTATCATCATTTTTTTCCCACTTGCTGATCCTATAGCATTCAAGGAAGAAAAAAAGACAATGAATGAGTATTGGCGACAAAGTGTTCATTCCAGAATTTAAACCTTGTAAAAATCTTTATTTGAGAAAAACGCATATAACTAAAACTTGCGAAAATAAATATGCCGCCACAAAACTTATAATTAGGATCTTCAGAAAGTCCCAGGAGAGTAATCTGAACCAAGCTCATGCTCGTGCTTCTTCATTGTGGCTGCCTAGAATGCCACTGAAGAACTTTCACTTCGCGCTAGATGCACAACGGTAGTAATCTTTTTGCCAGTCCGCTGGCTGCTTTGGCTTGTTGGCTCTTACTGCAGTTCACGCAAAATAAGTGAACTAGACTCCTTGTTTCCCAGATAGAAATGCATACAAGCTAGCATCTGCCACGGCAGTCTCAACAGCACATTCTTGTCGTTTTGTGACAGGCTCCATATAACAGAGTGCAATGCCTCATTTTTTTGCATTCTGTGTTTTTTCTCTCGCACATCTTCGCATGAGCTTCTTGTCAGACAAGCTCTCATACACAAGGTCCAGCGCATGGCTGACAGCCTCTGGCGAGTTGTACTTGCTTTTTGGCATGGGCCCATTCTTTTTTCCATGGCTGCATTGTGCATGCACCATGACTCGGGGCCCTGTGGACAATAGCTGTGGTTAGGCTGCTCGCTAGTGGACGTCACATGGTAATATATAGCCCACACAGCCTTGTGCATCTTGTCCACATTCCCAGAATGGGATTTGAGAGCACAGTCATAGTAACTTGTCAATCATGTTATAAGGTCACCCGTAAGATAACCCTTGCCACTCATGCGCTCGCCGGCGTCTCTTTTGTGCTTCTGCACAAAATTTCCAACTGTAGTCCCCATTTTCTTCTGCACACGGTTCGCACAATCTTGTTTCTGAACATTAATGAAGCCATACACTTTGCCTTCGTTGACAGCAAGCACTCTATGACCGGCTGTCACCATCACAAAGCAAGGTTAGACTATGAAGCGAAAGTGAGTGCTGAAATAAAATTGTTGCTGCCTCTACGTCCATTTGGCCAGCTTTGCATGAGGTGTTTTTCTGACATGAATACTTAGATTTCCGCTCGGCATACTCTGGGCTGTCGGGTTTTGGGCCACGTTCGCAGCAGAGGGAAAAATTAGACAGCACTACATAGTCAAGCACATATCTTGAAAAAACTTCTGCTACAGAGGCCACTCCAATGTGTGAGGTGTGTCCTCTTGTGTGCCAGCTTTCATAAAAAGAGTGCAATATTTTCAGGGTTGCCGAAATTAAGGTCCTTGTAGACACTCATCACTGTTGCGGCACAACTAGTCATATGAGTCGGCACAAGCTCTCGTTGCTACTGGCTGGAGCTTTGTTTTTAGGAACTGCTGGTAATCTTCATGCGTAGACCTACCAGCAGTACCAACTGCGGGGAAGTGGGTTCTAACAGAGATCGTATGAAGACCTACCAGCATGAAGTATGAAGACCTTGGTGTGAAACGGCCATAGCGGTAAAGATGTCGTTCAGTGTCATCAACTCAATTCCTGTGCTCTGCACAGCAGGTGCCAGGCGAACGTTGATCTCAAACAGGTTGCAGTTATTGTTACAGCCAACACGTCGTGAACTCAATTTTGAACCAACTTCCCCGCAGTTTCTCACGAACTCCATTTTGAACGAACTTCCTGGCAGTTTCTGCAGCGAAGCTATAGCTTCACGGCGACACCGTACTCACTTGAGTCACATTCAATAGTCAGCTGTCCCCGGCACACTCGACAAGAAGAACATTTCTGAAATAAGCTGTTTACCAAGTCCAGGTCAACAGTTGTTTACGTCGTGCCGACGAACTTTCGATGCCGCGCTCACTCAGAGAACACTCAATTCGCGATCAGCTGCCGAGACCGAGGAAAGTTTTGCTGCTTTCTGTTGTGCACAACACTTAATGATATTCAGGTTAGGTTAGGTTAATTTGGTTTTTATTGCGCAAAAGCAGCTAAAGCTATGCTGCGCCAGACACAAGACTTTCAGGAATGGACACAGAAAAGATGATATTTTAAAGCTTATTTACCAGGTTACATTCTTTCAGAAAGTGGCATAGATGTGTTCAGGCGACGACCTTATTCTTAAAACATATGATAAGGTTAGTATTGCTCTTCGATCACATAGAGGGGGCTCATTGCATTCTACGTATTGACTTTGCACAGGTGATGTTCTGTAAGCACCACTTGACAGACGGAGACCGAGGTTGTGTATAGAGTCAAGACGGCGGATGTTACGTCGCCTCTGAATAAAATAAACCCTTCTTTTGGACATAATTGAGTAGTGGAGGTGCTGGGTACAAAACATACGTACCACAGAGCCACAGCTGTTTGAACTTCACCGGAGCCGTCGTCTTGCTGGTCTGCCATTGACAACAGTCGTCATGGCCCAGTGCAAGGGTCAAGAATCAACCGCCTCAACTATGCACAGGTCTACGCCGACTAGGCCTTACTACACGGCGGCATTAGCTTCTTTGCAACAAGCTATGAGCAAGCACTCCACAACGTGGCACCTAACGCGCGGATCACGCTCAAGCCAAGTAGTCATACTTTTGACGTTTTGTTGAGCGGCAGGAAAAAGCATGCTAGTCCTTTTATCGGCCATCATGACCACACACGCACACCAAGAGCGAGCAAGACGCGCACACCCGACACACATGCCAGAGCGCGTGGAACAGCTCTGGGCCCGCTTCCTGTCAGAAAACGAAACTGATTCGAGCCAGTGTGGCAGGCGTCGCGGAGCGGCGGGCGGAGACGGGCGAAGGGGTTGTGATCAAGAGAAAAGAGGAGAGCAGACTTGCGAGAGAAGGGCAAGAAGTTGCGATAAAGAGTGAGGAGGATGCGGCGGGAGCGTGACCTTGAAAATCAAAACACACGAGAAGGAGGCTGGTTGAGTAGGTTGCTTGAAAGGTCCGTGAAACTCGCACGTAAAAGAACTTAGAAAGAGTGCCTGCGCGTGCAGAAGTAAAAGTATGGCCGCCTGGATTGGTGCGCGCAGCGGTGTTCGAAAAATCGGCGGCCGTGCGTGGCCTCACGAAGTTCAATATTTCGCGATTCGCACCGCCCAAATTAACAGCCGTTTTCGCGCTTCCACACGCGCGCGGAAGGCATGCTGATTTGAGTGCGAAGTGAGCGAGAACAAGTCCGAAACACGAAACGAATCGCAAATTATCAGAGTCGGTGGGGTAGCGTACGCGCGTGCACTAGACGCAGACTATTGAATAAAGCCGGTGGCTGACGATGTTGGCAAATGGTCTGGTCACCCTGGGTCGGCAACGCCAACGACAGTGCCAGCGATCAAAAACAGGGTAGATGGCCGACCGTTCTTCGAAATATCGGTGGCAGTGTGAAAACACGGGCCTCGTCTGGTGATGCGAGGTGCTCAGAGTAGCGGGGGACAAAGGACGGAGGGTTGCATAACAAAAAGCAGTCGGGGCATGGAGGAAGGAAACAACTTTCCTTCCTCCATGGGTTGGGGAGAGCGGCAATAGAGGGTCGCGTAGGCAGGATCAGCGTCTAAAAATAAGAATGTATGGGCACATCGCTGATGCCTGATCGGTGGTCGAAATTGGTTTCCCGGGAAGTCGGCAGACTGCTGACTCCGTTCGCTGATACCCATCAGCGGCGCTCGGAGACGTTCATTGTAAGTGCGATTTCGTGCCATTGAACCTATGTATATTTTCACGGTCACGCGGATATTGTTCGTTTTAAGCGAAAGTACGTTCAAAGTGGGGCCATTATATGTGGGCTCGACTGTATTGCAATCAGCCGATTCTGACACCATCAAGACACAATCGCGATAGTAGTCCTTACGTGTGTTGCACTTCCGCTTCGTTGCAGCATCATTTGTGCTCCTCCACCGAGTTTATCAGAGATATCCATCGGCAACTACAATAATTTATGGCACTCGAGGGGCATGTCGCCGCTGCTAGAAGCTCTAGCGATCGGGCTGCTTCATTGTGGTGTCTGCCCATCAAAAGTCCTGCTCAGCTGTGCCGACGTAGCCGCTGCTGACTGCAGCAACAGCTTGGGCTGCCTGGTACGTTCTTGCACCGCTTTCCGAATTTATGCAGTGTGCAGAACTTACGGGCACAGTTTGGCATCTCAATTTCAAT